GAAAAAAATCACCGGCCCAACCCACCAAATCCGGTCTGGTTCACCGGTTTTCTCGGTTCGACAACCGGGTCTTCCGATTTTCCATTTCTAAGCCGGTTATGCTCCTACTCCGGTTCTAAGGGGTTGACCAGACTAGAACAAGGCCCAATTCCTGGTCCAATCGGTTCAACCGGCCGGTCCGGTCCGGTCCCGGTTTCACAACATTAGTATGTTATGCTTTTGTATCTTCATTTCATCAATAAAGCCTTTTCTTTGTTGATAAAAAAATAATAATAATAATTTGATACAGATTTTAGCATTAATCAAGGGCAACTAACTGTTTAAACTACATGATTTTATGGTACTGTGCAAGTTAGAGGTTTCGTTATCTATTTAAAAATAAATAAATGAGTAGGTTGGTAAGAAAGTGAGTAATTTGTCTATGGGTTAAATAGTAATTTGCTATTGGAAATTAAACAAATAAGTTAAATTTATAATTCAAAGTGAAATTAGCTCAGTTCGTAAGAAGGAAAATGTTCGGGACCCCTTTTTTTGGGACCTCCATAACTTCCTTTGAATCTTAACCATTGATATATGTGTGGGTCCCACACCATTAATGGTTGAGATCCAAAGGCGGTTGTGGGGGTCTTCAAAAAAAAGGGGGTCTCAATCAACTTTGGAGTGGTGCTGTCATATGATTGAGTTTGTTTTTTGGTGCCAACCTAGTTGGGGGTTAGAAAGTTAAAATGTTTGCACCTTCTCCTTTCTTCCTTTTTTTTCCCTTCATTGATGTATGGCCTTTACTTTATATTGGTTGACTTATCAATAAAGATTCTCTTTTGATTGATCAAAAAAAAAAGAGTCTCAATCATCGTTGTGGTAAAAAAAATGTACTCAAATCTTACTGCTAGCAAAACTTTCCTTCCCTATCCTTTGATATCACTACAACATATAAATGTTTTAGAGACCAAATGTTTTGGTCTTTAAAAGTGAAAATTTTGTTGCAAAAGACATTTAAGAAAGAAAGAAAATAAAAAAAAAAGAAAAAGAAAAAAATCAACGGTCCAACCCACCAAATCCGGTCTGGTTCACCGGTTTTCTCGGTTCGACAACCGGGTCTTCCGATTTTCCATTTCTAAGCCGGTTATGCTCCTACTCCGGTTCTAAGGGGTTGACCAGACTAGAACAAGGCCCGGTTCTCGGTCCAATCGGTTCGACCGGCCGGTCCGGTCCGGTCCCGGTTTCACAACATTAGTATGTTATGCTTTTGTATCTTCATTTCATCAATAAAGCCTTTTCTTTGTTGATAAAAAAATAATAATAATAATTTGATACAGATTTTAGCATTAATCAAGGGCAACTAACTGTTTAAACTACATGATTTTATGGTACTGTGCAAAGTTAGAGGTTTCGTTATCTATTTAAAAATAAATAAATGAGTAGGTTGGTAAGCAAGTGAGTAATTTGTCTATGGGTTAAATAGTAATTTGCTATTGGAAATTAAACAAATAAGTTAAATTTATAATTCAAAGTGAAATTAGCTCAGTTGGTAAGAAGGAAAATGTTCGGGACCTCTTTTTTTGGGACCTCCATAACTTTCTTTGAATCTTAACCATTGATATATGTGTGGGTCCCACACCATTAATGGTTGAGATCCAAAGACGGTTGTGGGGGTCTTTAAAAAAAAAAGAGTCTCAATCAACTTTGGAGTGGTGCTGTCATATGATTGAATTTGTTTTTTGGTGCCAAGTTAAAATGTTTGCACCTTCTCCTTTCTTCCTTTTTTTTCCCTTCATTGATGTATGGCCTTTACTTTATATTGGTTGACTTATCAATAAAGATTCTCTTTTGATTGATCAAAAAAAAAAGAGTCTCAATCATCGTTGTGGTAAAAAAAATGTACTCAAATCTTACTGCTAGCAAAACTTTCCTTCCCTATCCTTTGATATCACTACAACATATAAATGTTTTAGAGACCAAATGTTTTGGTCTTTAAAAGTGAAAATTTTGTTGCAAAAGACATTTAGGGATCAATTTTTATCATCATAAGAATAGTCGTTAAAAGCTCGTTCCGAAAAGTCAAAAAGAAAGGCTTTAAAAATGTCACTAATAAATAGACTTTTTGGAACAAAATAATTTGGTCTCAAAATAGTTTATTTTTTTAAAAAAAAAATTTGGTCCCCAAATGACAATAATTTATCACTAATGTCTAATTTTCGTTACTAGAAATATAATAACGACACTTTTCACAACAAAAATATTTAATTTCTATAAAATAATTTAATCTGTAAATTTTGATTTCTAAAATTTTAATTTTTTATACTGTGTACCCAAAAAATTTTAAAACACTTCTCTCTTTCCACTTGAGAGTAATCAATCTTTTAGCTTATTTCAATCTTTTTATTTTTATTTTTTTAATCATCCATTTGTCTTCTATCCACCCAATTGGATTTGACAATACTGTTAGACTTGTGCAATCAGTCATGAATCTCATTCTCACGATTTATACATACATTAGAAGTTTGGTAAAAAAAACCAACTTAATGACTAAAATAAACCTACACAAAGTTAATTTTAAAAAAATAATAATAATTTATTTAGTACATTACTAGATTGTTTGCCCACACTTGCTCACAAGAAGCTATAACAAAATAGTTACATATTAGAAAACCAATGTTGGGTACACAATGAGATGGTCATCCTTGACCCAAATGATAAATTCTCAATGGTTGAAATTGCATTGGGTGTAATTGCATACCATACATTGAATCAAGCAACAATTGCACACCAATAATTGCATAAATAGTGATTGCATTTCAGTTTGTCACACATGAATTTGTCCCGTAGAATAAGTGGAGAGGACAAGTTATGTTACACAGATATACTCTCTAATTCTCATAATGAAAGTTATGAACTCGAGCCTCACATGAGGCGTTGGGATGATTCTCTTTTCATTTTCTCTTATTAAAAAATGAAAAATGTTTGGAACTCCCTTTTAGAGAGACCTTCACTACCTTTACAGTAATATGGACCAATGATGTATTTGTATTATTTATTTTTTTTCTTTTTCTTTTTTATTTGAACCAATCACAAGTGAGTGGAGGTTGTGAGTGTGGTATTTTGTAAGAGTCTGAATCATTATTATTAAAATATATATATATATATATATATGTATATATATATCACTATAAGTAGCCTGGACAGCTCTAGACTGGTTACGTGGCATTGTGTTATGAATGGGGAAAGCAAACTGGGCCAGTGACCGGGGAACATGAGAACCATTCTTTTTCTTTGCATAGAGTTGTCATGTAATTATGCTTCGTCACATGGAATGTTAATTCAAAAGATCGAAGTGGACGTTACAGATATTACAGCTTAGAATAATAAGACACAACAGTGATTGAATCAATCATATGATTTGTTGAGCATTAGAGTATCTCTAATGGCTTTTTATTAGAGTTGTTATTGTCATAATTTGACAATTTCAGTAAAGTAGTGTGTTTTAATGGTAAAAAATAGCAGTTGATATATTTAAGAAATGTCAAAAATTATGTCAAATTTGATACAAGATTTGGTAACTTCTATTTGTTTCAAATCATAAAAAAAAAACACATATCTTCTTCTGTCCATCCACCAAGCAAAACATCCCTTACTCTCGCTCTCTCGTCCGCCATTTTTGCAGAAGAAATACAGAAACTAGTATGTTTAGACGATCGGCCGAATATCCGCCCGGTTAACTGGGAGGTCGTTCGACTAGACGGCTGAATACACCAATTTCTGTGCTAAAATAACATAAATGACAATTGAATCTTTTGAACACTATTGCTATTTTTTATTCATTTTTTATTATTTATTGTCATAATTTAACAATGACACTACTATTATAATATTTGACATTAGAGATACTCTTGTTTTTGAGATGCCACATCGTGCTTAAAAAGTGATTTTACATGTTTGGACATTGGAAGTGCCCACTTAACGAGGATAACAGGTGCGGCAACCCAGTCGATGGGTTTGGGACAAGTAAAAACCACTATGTCAAAACAGGGCATTAACGGCGATTTTTTTAACGGCGGTAACGAAAACCGTCGTTAAAGGTACTATTAACGGCGGTAACGAAAACCGTCGTTAAAGGTATCATTAACGGCGATTTTGTTACCGCCGTTAAAAAAACCGCCGTTAATGCCCACTTTTAACGGCGGTAACAAAACCGCCACTAATGCCCAATCATTACCGCCGTTAATGATGGCGGTCTTTGCCGGCGAAACTCCGACGAAACTCCGGCGAAACTCCGGCGAGCTCCGGCGAAACCATCTACAATAAAGTAAAAGTAATGTTTAAATATTTATTTAGGGAATTTATTTCATGAAGAGTGGCTATGGTAGAGTGGTTAGTGTGGGTGGATGAGAGGTTGAGGGTTCAAGACTTGGAGAGTGCAAGAAGAAATAATTATTTTTTGAAAAATTTGAACCTATTTACGGCGGTAAAAAACCGCCGTTTTTGGTCCTATGTTACCGCCGTTTTTTGTCGACTTTTAACGACAGTAATTTACCTTTTTACGACGGTTGTACTTTTTCCGACACGCGCATAAACGGCGGTAACAAAACCGTCGTTAAAGGCTTTAACAGCTGTTTTACAGCCTTTAACGACGGTAAAAAACCGCCGCTAAAGCCCAATTTTAGCGTAGTGAACGTGTTAGTTAATTCGATTGATGTGGTAACAATAATTTTACAGTCTCCATTTGGTATGTAGGTTTGTTTTTCGATTTTTTAATTTTTTAGTTATTTTAGTTTAAAGTTAAAATTTTTTATTTTGGATGAGTTTTTTTTATTTTTTTATTTTTATAGGAAAAAAATAAAATAATTATAATTTAGATGTGACATTTTGCCTTATTAATTTTTGTAATTTTTTTTGTCTTTTTTTGACTATTTTAGTCTAAAAATTTATGCCAAATATAGCCTAAACTCCAAATTAAATTTAATTTGACTATATAATTTTTTTTAAAAGACATTTGATTTACCATTAAACAAAGATTTTTAAAATGCTTTATAATTTTGCCATTTAAGATATCGTTTGGGATGTGGGTTGATTTTTTGACTTTTTCACTATTTTACTCTGGAGCTAAAAAATTTCGTTTGGGATGAACTTTTTAATTTTTCTAACTTCTGTAAAAATAAAATGATTATAATTTAAATGTGACATTTTTTAACATGAGACTAAAAAGCCTATATTATTTTTTTCTGATTATTTTAACCTCAACCCATCCTAATCCATCATACCAAACCAATGCTAAGTTGTTCATTGCATGTGGTTAGGACATGTGGTCAAGGGTTTGAAACTGATGGAATTGTGACGGTCCCGTGAATTTTAATTTACCCTTATTAACTGATATATGACAATTTTGATTTTTTTAAAAAAAACAAAATGCACAAGAAAGATTTGGTCTGTAAGAACATAATATAGTCTAACCTATGAGTAATGAATAAGGGTATTAAACCTTTTAACATAAACTTGGGTGTGTAAGGATATTTTGAAAAGATGGTCAACTTTTAATTTATTTTAGATCTTATTATTTTTCATATATTTTTTTATTTTTTATTTTTTTTTAAAAAAAAATATTACTTTTAATCATTTTCTCAAAACAACCTTAAGAGTTTATCTACTAACCAGTTCATCAACTCAACTCAAGTCATTGTTATTTTTATTTTTGTTCCTCACATGTAAGTTAAAATCACAATAACCTATTCGCATACTCATGCTCAAATTCTTATCTAATTTTTTTGTGAAATTATTTGGAATTTATCTTGATATTTTTTAGTCATACAAACAAATCACAATTCCATTTTCCATATTCTTCAAAAGTTCTTTTTTTTTTTTTTTTTCGAAAAAAAATCCAATTTTTGAACTAAATTTAATATTGATGTGACCTACCCTACACTAAAAATAAACTTAGAGGTTATTTGGCATGAACTAAAATAACATACATTTTTACCTTTTTATCTTTTAGATCGTATTACTTTTCTAATTTTTTTACATATTTTTTTTATAAAAAATTAAAAGATATACTCTATTCGTTCTAAAATATTATTCTCTTATTTTATTTTTTATTATTCCAAAATATTAGTCTCTTTTCAAAAATCAAGTATAAAAATAATATAAAATTTTCATTTTGCCATTCTTTTAACAACATAAAAAATACAATTATGACATTGATATTTCTAAAAAAATATACTATCAAAGAATAATTTTGAAACATCAATTTTTTAAAATATAATAATTGTATAATAAAGAAAGTTAAATTCTTTAAAAGAGACCATTATTTTGAAATTGAGGAAGTACTTATTTAGCGCTTCCAAATAACACTTTATTTCATACACCTCATTCTAACATACATTTTGGATTTTATTTTATTTTTGTGGTTACCTAACTTTTCAATTAGAAAATGAAAAAAGAAAAGGGGGATGCACCAATAAATCCCAAATTAATAACTTATACACTGTTTAGTCTTAAAAGTTTTCTTATAGACTAAAAGGTTCCATTACAATGTTTCAAACATCAGACTAATGTTTCGAACATTAGATTTCGAACATCAGATTAATGTTTCAAACATTAGATTGATGTGCAAATGGGATTAAATGGAACATAAAAAAACTTTCAGGACTAATTGATTCAACTTTTTAGAAACTAGGACTTATGGGTAAATTTTCCAAAAGAAAAACCAATTTCAGGGCCAACCCGACCCAGTACCAGTTCATCCGTGAACAACCCAAACCCATGGCCAAGTACTTGAAATCGGGTCGGAGAGAGAGAGAGAGAGAGAGGGGAATCAATGACGGAGCCAAGACGACTGAGAGGTCACAAGGCCACCGCCACCAGCTGTATCGCCGCCCGTGACCGTCCTGGCCTCGTCGCCACTTCCGGCGAGGTACTCTATTTTTTTTATAAAAAATTAAAAGATATACTCCATTCGTTTCAAAATATTATTCTCTTATTTTATTTTTTATTATTCCAAAATATTAATCTCTTTTCAAAAATCAAGTATAAAAATAATATAAAATTTTCATTTTGCCATTCTTTTAACAACATAAAAAATACAATTATGACATTGATATTCCTAAAAAAATATACTATCAAAGAATAATTTTGAAACATCAATTTTTTAAAATATAATAATTGTACTACTAAAGAAAGTTAAATTCTTTAAAAGAGACCATTATTTTGAAATTGAGGAAGTACTTACTTAGCGCTTCCAAACAACACTTTATTTCATACACCTCATTCCAACATACATTTTGGATTTTATTTTATTTTTGTGGTTACCTAACTTTTCAATTAGGAAATGAAAAAAGAAAAGGGGATGCACCAATAAATCCCAAATTAATAACTTATATACTGTTTAGTCTTAAAAGTTTTCTTATAGACTAAAAGATTTCATTACAATATTTCAAACATCAGACTAATGTTTCGAACATTAGATTTCGAACATTAGATTTTGAACATCAGATTAATGTTTCAAACATTAGATTGATGTGCAAATGGGATTAAATGGAACATAAGAAAACTTTCAGGACTAAATGATTCAACTTTTCAGAAACTAGGACTTATGGGTAAATTTTCCAAAAGAAGAACCAATTTCAGGGCCAACCCGACCCAGTACCAGTTCATCCCTGAACAACACAAACCCATGGCCAAGTACTTGAAATCGGGTCGGAGAGAGAGAGAGAGAGAGAGGGGAATCAATGACGGAGCCAAGACGACTGAGAGGTCACAAGGCCACCGCCACCAGCTGTATCGCCGCCCGTGACCGTCCTGGCCTCGTCGCCACTTCCGGCGAGGTACTCTCTCCCTCTCTCTAAACATATACACATATATTTATATCAGTATTCATAGATATATGGTCACTTGATTGCTCAATTTGTTTTTACCATTTAGATTGATGTTATTCTTTGCCACTACCCTTGAAAGAAAAGGGGAAAAAAAAGAAAAAGAAAAAGAAGAAGTAAACATAATAGTCAGTCTTGGTGTCTTTGAACTTTGAGGAGGGTTTTGAATGAAAATGGGTTTTTTCTGGAATCAAGTAATTTTGATATTTTTTTTTTATTATTTAATGGAAAATCAGGATGGGTGTGTTTGCTGGTTCGATGTGCGGTGTAAAGATGTGTTATTTGTCATGAATGTTGGGGGTAATCCTATATCATCACTCTGTTTCAAGCCAGGTGATTTTTTATTTATTTATAATTTATTTTTTTATTAATTTGCTTGTGTTCATCATTGTTACTGTACTAAATTTAACTTACCTTCTATGTCTTGGCCTGTGAACTCTTAAGCACCTGCATAATAATCTCCCAATTTATACTGATTGTTTATATCAAGTTCATCTTGGAGAACCAGGTCTGTGAACTGTCCTTTTAAGGCTCAACTCAAGGATCCAAAATGGTTTTATTGTTTTGTGCGAGACAAACAATGTAATTATCCAAATACAAGATAGATACCATTTTGAAAAACCTGCATGGATAGGCCAACAGTTAAGGGGGTGGAGTCTAGGGCCGAGCCATAAACTTGGACGTCTTTGTTTAACCCTCATTGATGTCACCCAAGCTTAACCGATAGCTTTGGTTTGTGGTTAATTGTAGGTATTGGATGGGTCCAAAGGGGCCTATTTTAGGGAGGTTCATTCATCTTCAAACAAAGAAGAAAAAAAAGAAAAAAAAAGAAAAAAAAAAGCCTTTTTAAATGATAACCTCCCTTTGCAATGAATATGATTGTCAAGCACTTTTTAGCTGACACTATTGATAGTTTTTTTTGAGTAAATTTTTTTTTTTTTGGTAACATAATAAATCCTTAAGTGGCAACAGAGAGCATGCACCTGTATTTAGAAAAAAAAAATGGAGGTAAAATATAATAGGATAATAGCTAGATAGGGGAAACTGGTTTTACCTTCATTTCTTTTCCTTCTTTCCTTATGCGTAACTTGATGCCTACAAGAGTTAAAATTTTGAGCTCAGATTTTTTGACATTTAAAGTCTCTTTCTCATGAGCCATTAGAATAATAGTTAAGTAAAACATTTATTTTAGGTGTGAAATTACCAAATATATAGTCGGTTAATTTTTAAGTGATATGTATCTCTTGTAAATATATTTTGTAGTTCAAATACTTAATAATTAGTTAAGACTTTAGCTTATTTCTGTGAAATGATTGTTGCATGATGCAGGAAATGAAGACATCATTTATGTTTCCTCAGGAACTGAAGTCAAGGGGTTTGATGTACATTTGGTAAATCTTTTATTTGAGGCATCTCTAATTCACTAAGTTTATTTATAGCACTTTGCTAAACAAATTTAGTATGATGGACAAATGGAATATGTTATACACATCACACGGTATTATTTTATCTTGTATTGATGGTCTTCTATTTATAGTTTCAGTTGATTTTTCTCAAACCAGTACGTGTTTTATATATTATAAGCATAACACTGTTGTTTTCTTATAGTCTCAATAAGCATTCTGCATTCTCTGCTCAATGAAAGAAAGCCGTGTCCTAACTAGTTGGACATTCTGCATAGAATTATTATTATTTTTATTGATGTATTGATTCGTTGTATATATTACAATTACAAGGATTCCTATTATATAGGAGTGTGTTTGGGAGTAGGTGGAGAGTAGGTGAAGTGGAGGTGGTAGTGGTGTAGTGGGTTAGGTTTAGTGGAGTAGGTGAGGTGGTAGTGGTGGTAGGTTTATGGTAAATTCTAACACTCTGCTCAATGAAAGAAAGCCGTGTCCTAACTAGTTGGACATTCTGCATAGAATTATTATTATTTTTTAAATAGTAATTGAAGCAATTATTGTAGTCGTAGAAACAGCATTCACCATCGAATCATTAAATCTCCTAAAGTTTCTACTTATTATTTTGTTTAATTTGTTTGATCTCAAGGGGTTTTATTCTGTAAGCGCCTAACTGATATAGCCTATGGGTAATCTTATTTTTCTTCAACTTGGTGTCTGAAACACCACAGCCCTAGCGTTCCTCTTTTGTCTTCCTTTTTTCTTTATCAAGTGCTTTTAATTTTAGTGATTGTAAGATATAAACATTTCATCAATCCTATATTTCTCCATATTCAAACTCCTTTCATTCTGGATTTTTTTAGTTGGGAGGCAAAAACTTATTGATTAAAAAGAACGACCAAAGGGTGAAAACCCAGGTAGCAAGGCTAAAATTTCTTCTCAGATAAACAAGAGGTTGATTTTCCCACCAAATATAACCCAACTAAAATCAGAGACCAGCTTTCAAAAAAGGTTTTTTATTTTTTTTTAAAGGGTTGTCTACAGTGGACCAGTATTCAGTCCAATGGGTCACATGTTCCAATGTTCCAATTGTGGTACAAATCATGCTCAAACATCCCTTGGAATGTAGGATTGGATAATGTATGCCTTCATGGTAAACGAAAGCTGCCAGTGCAACTCACATATTTATAATTAATCTTCCCTTGAATTTCATATGTACCCATTGAATAACATAATCCTAGCTTCCAGAATATTCAACAATTCACTCCCTAGATAAAGATGATTATCTTTTCATTCTGTTTTTTATCACGAGGACGCCTTATTTGGTTCTGTGTGTGCTACAATTGGAAATCACGATTTTTTTGATACAAGTGTTTTATCTTCTTCAACCTGACTCCCTCTCTCTGTTCTTCCTTCCTTTGCATAATGATTGCCATCTTTTTGTTTTCATGCTCATTTCTCTAGGCAAGATATAGTTATGCGGCACAAGTTACATACTTATCTTTTGTGTAGTTTTTTCCCTCTCTCTCTCTCTCTCGGTTTGTATTAGTACAGGCTGTGCTTTCCTTTTTAGTGTTGATTTAATATTGAAATGCGTAGTTTTGGTTACTTATATATATTATCAATTTCTATCTTGAAGGCTGCCTCATTGAAGTGTTTAGAGAGTTACAACTATAATAAAGAGGAGATAAATCAGGTGCACTTTCTATATAATTCTTGATTCCGAAATATTTTAATAGCCCCTTTTTTTTTGTTGTCCATTGTTTCTCATTATGATTATTGGTCAAGGTAGCTGTATTTTTCGTTTGTTTTAGACAAGCTGAACTAATGCAAATAAATTTTACTAACTTCATGGATTCTTATTGATTGATCGAAAGTGTATCTTTCTTCTTCTAAATTAATGTAAGCATGATTTTTTGTGTCATCACTTCACAACCAATCTTTATATAATACAATTCATGTTGAGAAATTCTATTAGAAAGAAATATGATGTCATTACGCTTACACATTTGTGTCTTGCAGATTGCATGCAACTCTAGGTCATGTTTTCTTGCTGCTGCAGATGATGGTGGTGATGTGAAGGTACGATAATTAAATGTTTGTCTTCAATCGTCAGTAATGTATTTTTATTGAGTTATTTACAGTATGTCACAGTTGTAGTGCTTTATGAAGGACATGCAACCTTGTTTTTCCTTCTTTTTTCTTTTGTAGTTTCTTTTCTTTTTCTTCTTCAGTTGTACTTGTTTTTCTTTTCTTTCATTATGCAACATATAGCCCTGGACAGAGCGTAATGACATAAAAGAATTCAAGTAATCAACCCCATTTGATTGCAACATGAGGCTTAGTTTGGTTTAGTTTGTCTACCATTATGCACAGTGTTACATGGACTCTTCTATTGCCCCTGTGCACCATGTTCACTAGATATGGAAGGTTAAGGAGGGTATGTGATATGTTCCTAACCTCCATACTCTAACTTAAATATTTTGATTCTCTAATGTTTTGTGATGTTTGAAGAAGAAATTCATATTTGATAGTGAAGAAAAAAAGTCTAATGGATGGGAGATAGAAATTTTTTCCCTCTAGTTCTGTTTAATTTTGGAAAAACTGCATTTAAGTGGGAACAAATCAAAATAATTGCACTTTCATGGAGGTACAACTCAAAACAAGTGAGAGTTGGGTCATAAAAGACCAAGTGTGTCTTTTAGGCTTTATTGGATAAGATTTTACAGAGATATGCTCTGGGAGGAAAAGTAAGAGGATGAGGGAGGTCACTATGAAGTATAAGAGTGGTACGACTGATTGATGAGGACCTCCAGTGAGGTGCATTTGTGGAAAGGAGTTAGAAAGGATCGGGAGAATTCTTTTAAAGTTCAAACCATATAGGCCATCAGTGGGCTAGGGGGAAGATTGCCACTATTTAGTCTGTGAATAGAGCTTTCAAAAAAATCTTATTCTTAGACATTCCCCCTACCCAAAAAAATCATATTCTTAGGCCTCCCCCCTACCCCTGCCTTGGTATATATATTACATTTGTTCAGTCTCTCTCTCTCTCTCTCTCTCTCTCTCAAAATTTCAACATATATTTTAAGATACTTATCAAACTAGAAGAAACAGGGTTAATGTTTGGCAAAATTGTTTCCATGATTCATTTATTGACTCTGGCAGATCATCGACATTCGCCAACAAGGCCTCTACAAAACATTAAGAGCTGGCCATACAAGTGTATCCTTTCTCACTCATTTAACCCTTTTTATTTTTATTTTTTAATTTTAATTATTTTTCCATCTTTAGTCGGTTTCCAAGTAATATCAATTGGTTTGTCTGAAGAATGCAGTGTGTCTGGTATACTGATTGTCTCTTCTTTTCTTTCGCTGACTCTTCTATTTAGTTGTTGGCAAAATTCCTGAATCTCCTTTATTGTATCTCAAACCTTTCCAACTTATGGTAATTGTCTCCTTAACCGTGCTCTTTAGATCTGTAGCAGTGTCCAATTCCTTCCCTGGAGACCTTGGGAAGGTATTTCTTGCTTGTTTTTGTAACTCTTTCAAATGCGTAAATTTTCTTCTCTCTCCCCCTTTCTCTAGTGTGTGCGTGCAATGTCATGCCTACTTGCACTATCTTCATCTACTTGCAAATTATAAGTCAACAGGTAACTCAACACTGCACTCAAAAAAAAAAAAAAAAAAAAAAGGTCTAGTCAGCCTGGTTTGTCTGCCTTTTCATCTTGAATTCGTTCTTAACAATACTAGTATACTACCACAAACACGGATTATTATTCTAAGCATAATGGGATCATGAATGTGGCTGGCCACATACTCCCCAACAGGGAATTTTAGGGGAAAGCCAATGGGGATGACATTGACAGCATGCCTAAGGTTGGTCAATCTTGAGGGTTTTTTATTCACATAAGAAAGGAAAGGAAAATCTGTATTAGTAATATATTCAAGTTTTTAACTTTCTTTTAGGATTTTGTTTTGTACCTCTGTTGGGATATCATGAGAAAAAGCTTTGAGTATCGGATATATTATCTCATTATTGTTAAAAAAGGTGTCATGTAAAAGATTTTCTTCCAATCTATGTGCAATATGAAGGAAAAATAATACATTACATACTTCCTTGCATGCAAAGTTATTGTTTTTTTGTCAATTAAACAATCAAAAGTAAAAATTATTTACATGCTAATTTTATGTCATAATTGCAAATGCGATGAGTTTCAGATATCTTAAAATATGTGCGTGAATTTATTTTTATTGATTAGCATTTTGTGTGTGGTGTTGTGTTGCAGTCATTACCGGTGGACTTGATTCAAAGCTTGTGATGTGGGATTTCTCCAAAGGACGCCCACAAAAAATTGTTGACTTTGGTATAAGTCTTAATCCTTTTGTCTCCTTGTGTGCTCCTTGTTACTCTTTGTGTGAACTAATTACATTTAGGTTTGCTTCCACAGAATTAGTGGCCTTCAGAAAAATTTAGGTTCGAAATGCTAGCATGGATATGATCTTTTTGTGCTTCCAGCTCTGGAAAGACATTGCCCAATTTTATGTCAATTTGTTCTGTTTAAATTCTTGTCAATATTACAAAATTGTGTTTCTCTATCCAAAGGATCTTGATCAACAGAATATATTGGTCATGAAAGTTTCGTGGTTAGTATATATCTTTATAGAAAGTTCGTAGTTGTTATCTAAAATCTTCCAAGTCAGAAATTCAGTTTGTAGTATATCAAAAGGATATGAAGTGACACAACAATTAGGTCTTTTGGGTGGTGGATGGCAGTCTAGGATTTTGCGTAATGCATTACTCATGATCACAATAGTATAACTTCATTAATGATGAAGTATTACGCCTCATTCAACATCTTCAATAGACTTGGCTTGGTGTTTGTTTTATTTTCTATGGAAACAAATAGGGTATTAATATGGTCCTAATGGTCAGATAGATTGATTTAAGTACTCTTGTCATCTTTCCTTTCATTTAGGTGTGCCTGACGCGGACAGCGGAGGTAGTGCAGGACAATGCTTGAATCCTGCATTTGTCCATGCAATTGCCGTTCCTGAAGTTGATATGGTAGATAGATTAGGCAAGGTATGTGTCGTAGCTAGGGGCGATGGTGTTGTTGATGTGATCGATATTGAATCAGAACTTGCTGTTATTAAGTCGAAAAGTTCTTTAAAACCTCGGAAAGGCACTCAATCAAAAGCAAAAGGGAATGTCTCATCTGCAAATACTGAAACCCAAGATCAGAATGGGCGAAAGAAATTGCGTTTCGATTACAGTTTGGGAGGGCACACTTCTGCAGCATCGTGCGTGTAAGTAATTTTAATAGATCAATTACCAAAATTTGATTGCTCATTAATGTTCGTGTAATTCAATTAGGGCATTTTCAATGTTTGGGGAGAAAGGAAAGTATATAATTTCTGGTGGAAACGATAAATTGGTGAAGGTTTGGGATTGGGCCAGATATTTTGATGCTTCTCAAACTGGCAGCAACAGTGATCTGTTACATTTGAGCATTAGTTTGAGCAAGAAAGTGAGTTTACCCTGCATTTTTTTTTCACTGTCTTGGTTGTCGGTTTGTTAATTATGTATTCTTATTTACTGTTTAAGCTTCTTACCATTCACCTTGTATACCTGGTCAGGTCAATTGGCTCTGTACCACTCCAGCGGACACAGACAACCTTATTGTCTGCGACACATCAAAAGTGGTGAAGGTTTATACCATTGCTTAGATAATTGCACAGTTGTTGACTCTGGATTAGTTTAACCATAAAGCAACGCCTATCCGGGTATACTAGAACATTATTTTTTTGTAAGGTTGTGAAGAATGTTTTTTTATTTCTTTGCATTTGGGAGTTTGGAATTTGAGCACTTCTGGGCTATGTATATAATTTCTCAACTGGGATAACTGTTCTTGAGAAACATAATCGGGCAACCTTTTTTTTCAGGCACATGGAGGACCCTCAGGACGACGATGCCTGTAGGCCTGTCAGAGTTGACTGAAATGGGTTGGCTCTTTTAATCTGAGCAGAACGTACATTCAAACGATCTAGGTATCTGTAATGTTTCTGAATCATAAATTTGGAACCGTGAAGTCAAATCATGGTTTAAACATTTTACAAGTGGAGAGTGCTGTATGATGGAAGGGATGGAACCTTATTGGATAGTCTAAATTTTTGTATCTTAGTGATTGCAACCAAACATATATCTAAATGATCCGGGTTTGTATATTACAATTGAAATTATCTAGTTTTAATTTTGTTCAATCTTTAAAAAAAAGACACTCACAATAACCCTAAATGCAACTTTCATGTTCTTGGTAAGATATTTCTGAGATTCACTTGAATTGACCTGCCTATGTTTTATACATAATGGGGCTGTTTGGTGCAGTTAATGGGGCTCTGCATAGTCGTTGATGCAACTCTTGCGTACAATTTGTTAAATCGGAATAGTTTAAATAAGTAGGAGGTACTTTTAACTTCTTCTTTCTGAATCTGTACTAAACAGGCCCAATATACAGTTGTGTATTACCACTTACAATCACTTGCTACCTCTTGGATGCCTACTACCACTTACAATCACGAGGATGAGGTAAGACAGGGAGTCACCAAGAAGTATTCATCCCCCTGAAACCTAAACCGAGGGAATAGATGAAATGGACATTGATCTATGGTCAGGAATAAACTTCTGGGCATAGCCATCTTTCACTTTGCAGATGTTGTATCCCTGTAAAAGAGTGGTGGTGGTGGTGGGTGAGCTACAATTGGGATAATGGTATGGGGTCAATTTAGACTGTTCACAATATTTTTGTTTTACTGGGGAGAGTGAATCATTCAATGTTAAAATTGCACTAGAAATGTAATATTCAATTTCAATTGGATTGATAAGATGGCCTAAAAGGTCAGAATCTGGATGAATATTGGGGAAGATCTATATCCAATTGTTTGAGAGTGATTGAAGCATGTTGGAGAAGAAACATGCCATATCCCATTGATTGACACTGATTTTGTGAGGATATTGTATCGTAAATCAGTATAAAATGATTTGCAACCATAGATGTGAAATCTATGTAATGATTGTTCAGTGATTGATTCTGTAGCCGATTCAATATCCATAGTTCAAGAAACAATATTCATAGTACTAGATTCAATATCCATAGTTCAATATACAATATTCATAGTACTAGATACACACAACGTGAATTTGGTGCTTGAATTCTATACAATGTGTGTAACCATATCTTTTGCATTGTCCTACAATCACAAGATCAGGACCCCATAGCGGTGTTTAATTCGCAGATAATACCATGTTTGGTAGCACTAAATTGACCTGAGACGTAAAAATTTATGATGCTACCCCTTTATCCTCTTGCATATGAAGAATTATGGGAGTTTTTATTTGCACCCCAAAAAATAGGTTAAGCACCTCAATTTAATGATGTATTTTTTTTTATTACTATTAAGTCTCTATTTAAAATGACCAAAAAGTACTTGACTTTGAAAAAAGTGTAAATAAAAGTGTTTTGGACATCCCATTCATCATCAGTCTCAATATTCATTTTCTCCCTTCTCTCCCTACTTTCATTACTTTGCATCTTCATACTCAACTCTATTTGCTTTAATCCATCATTCGTGCATTCTATTTTATATTGAAATCAATAATGGATAATAAAGAAGATGTTTCCAAAAAATTTTCTATAAAGAAAATAAGTTTTTAATTGTTGTTTATCATTTTTCGTAAGTTGGTTTTCCCTAATTGATTCGGCATTGAATATCCGAACAAATTTCACATGTTTGGAATTAATCCAGACAAATATATTTTGTTTGGTATTGAGCATCCATACGAAAGAACTAGAACCAATTTTTTTTTATGTTCAACATGAGTATCCGAACAAATTTCACATGTTTGGAATTAAGTATCCAGGCAAATATATTTTGTTCGCTACTTAGGATCCATATGAAACAACTAGAACCACCAAATCTCTATCATTGGTCTACATGTACAACTAATCTTCTCTTCCAAATGTTTTTCCTTGGCGAGACCTGATTGTAAAATAATAGTGAAGGAAGATCTTTGATAAAGTGAATTCTTACATTGAGGCAAAAAAAAAATATTAAGAACAATAATCTTCTATGTTAATATACAGTATTTTATAGATATGATAAATGAAATATATCTAATAATAATTTTCTCTCTCCTAAATATATGCTATAATATATATTATCATAAAAATTTATAAGGATAAAATAGTCTACATAATACTTTTAATATAAGAAAAATGAGCTATTGGAATATAAGTTCAAATGCAAATGAACATAAGAATACTTGATAGATTTGGTGGGCTATAAGTCCTCTAAATGAGATTTACAAATAAATCTCACTAAACTAATGTTTGTTTCTTGATTTTTGCAAGTGTGACACGACTTAAATTTAATCATCACAAAGTATCATGTCACATGTACATAGTTCTCATATTGCGAAAAAAATTCAGGTAAGAGAATATTGAGAGATTAAGAATGGCTCATTTAATATAGTTTACAATTCCTCATTTATTAGGACATAAACAACACCACATAATACTCCAAAATTATAGAATAGTTTTCAAATTTTAGATAATGATAATAATAATTTATACAGATGCGTATCTATGTAAGGTTTGTTGACACAGACAGTAAGGTGGTGCAGGCTCAGGTTGAGTCTTTTTTGAAGGGGGTCAGGCTCAAATATGGTATGTATGGCTAGGATGTACCAAGCCCAACCTTTTACTCCTTTCTTCAAACTCCCGCAATTTTTTAAATCTTCCAAATAAAGCCGTTACACACACACACACTCTCTCTCTCTCTCTCTCTCTCTCTCTCTCTCTCTCTCTCTCTCTCAACACATCATGACATCAACCTCCACCCTCCACCCCTCTCACCACTACAAAAATGGGTGCACCACCACCACCACTATCATTGCATTGCAACCAACATTTCCGAATTTGGGTCACTGTTTTCCATCCTAGTGAGGACAAGAAGAAGAAGGAAACCCAAGTTGGGGTTGGGGTTGGGGTTTTTAAGGGGTTTTAGAGAGGAGGGGAGTGATGGAATCTGGGGGGATACCTATTTGCAACACATGTGGTGAAGAGGTAGGGTTGAATTCAAATGGGGAAGTGTTTGTGGGTTGTCATGAGTGCAATTTCCCCATTTGCAAGTCCTGCTTTCACTATCAGATCAAAGAAGGTCGTTCTTCGTGCTTGCGGTGTGGGGCTCCATTTCATGGTTTGTCTCTCAGACTTCATTCTCCTTTTAAGTTGAATTATGGTCAAGTTTGTGTAACGGCCGATATTTTTATCAACTTTATTTTTAATCATCCAGTATACTGATTGGAAATGAAAATCAGTTGTGTATGGGCCAGTTTGGATTACCAAAAAGCCTTTTTTTTTTTTTTTTTGGTGGCAGCTTATATTTTAAAAACCTGATTCATGATACGTAGCACTCAATACTCTCGTTAATCATGCTCTCAGTTGGTTTTTGATGTAGTGCCCAAAAAATTTCAATTCCTTTTTCAACTACCGTGACAGTGTCAAATTATGCTGTCTATTCTGTTTATTGAGTACTTTGCATACCGATTACTTGTTAATTTCAAATTTTTTTTCCAACTAATGTGAGGGTGTCAAATTGTTTTTCTAAACAAGTGTGCATATTCTCTTATACTATATATATATATATATATTATTTTCCTTTTATAACTGTTATAATTGTGTTTCTCATGAGTTAATACTATAGACTGAATGCATGGTTGAATTGTACAGAGAAATCCACAATGGCTGATGTTGAAACAGAGGTATCTGGAAATCATTCTACAATGGCTACTCACCTCAATGACATGCAGGTACTAGTATTTGTACGATCCTCTGACATTTCCATATGTGTTAAGAGATGAATATTTATAACAATTGCTTTCCGAGGAATTATTTAATCCCTTCCCTGCTTCCCTTATTTTTTGCTTTAAAAGTATTAGTTAAGAATTTAACGTGTTTCTGTACAATACTTGGTACAGGATGTTAATCTCCATGCTAGACACAGTAGTGTGTCTACGGTGGACAGTGGTGAGTGAATTGAAAGCATCTTGTGATTGATTTGGCTTCTCCATTTTTGTTTATCGAGAACAGTTTCTAATTTACCTCTCTGGTGTAATCATTTTCCCTTGTGAAGAACTACATGATGAATCTGGGAACCCGATATGGAAGAATAGAGTGGAAAGTTGGAAGGACAAGAAGAACAAGAAGAAAAAGGCTGCTAGTAAAGTTGTTGAAGAATCTCAAGTTCCACCTACAGAGGAGATGGAAGAAAAGCAGCAGCAGTAAGTGCATGGAAAATTAGAGTAATTTCAAATAGCTAAAAGCATTTTGAATTTAAAACAATTTTTTTGTAAGCCCATTTATTTTATTTTTTCAAAAAACATAAGTTGGTTTAGGAATGGAAAATATTACTTTAGGCAATGGTTTAAATTTTTTCCAACATGCTTTTGTATTTCATGCATTACATCAAGCTGTTTATGATGTTGGAGGTTAGTGAGATAGGTATTTGCTTGGATGGTTATTGTTTTTAACGTGTTATTAGCTTACATTTTAGCTGAAAGGGGAAAAAAATCGTCGAATACCACCATTCCATTAAAATTCCAAATAGAATGAAGTCCTGTCCTTTACCCATTAGAGAAATTGTTTGTACAATATGCTCCAAATTTATGGAATCAACTTGATTTGATTTTAGTAATATACATGTCTTATTGAGATGTAATGATTGCTTGTGCAGGTCAGGAGATGCGGCACAGACACTTTCGAAAGCAATTCCAATCTCAAAGGGCCAACTCTCGTCATACAGAGCTGTGATCATTATGCGGTCGATTATTCTGGTCCTTTTCTTCGAATACAGATTAACACATCCCGTTGATAATGCATTTGGTTTGTGGCTCACTGCTGTCATTTGTGAGGTCTGGTTTGCCATTACCTGGGTGTTAGATCAATTCCCTAAGTGGTGTCCCGTTAATAGGGAAACATACATTGACTGGCTATCTGAAAGGTATACATTTACAGCTGCCAAACTTCAAAGATAGGGTTAACGGTAAAAGATCTAGCTCTCTGAAAATAATTGATTTCTTTGTATCTAAAGCTCTGTTTGGGATCTCGTAAATAAGCTGTTTTGGGGATAAAAAGCCAAAAGCAAATAAGGCTGCTTGTGAAAAAGAATATTTTACTCTCGATACTTAAAATAATTCCACGTATCTCTGTAAGGGCTCCACAATATTATAAGGGTAATATGGTGATTTCTCACCAAAAAATAAATTTGAAAAGAACACCCCAAAAAAAAAAAAAAACAAATTAGTAATTACCATAGGGCATGAGTTATTTTAGATGCTAATTAAAAAAACGTTTGCCAAACCCCACTTAAGTTTTAGCTCTATATGTAAATTTATCTTTTGGCTTATAAGTTGAACACAACCTCCTAGGGCGATTGCACGTGCTCATTCGCCTCAGCAAGGTAAGTAACCTATAAAGCGGGAGCCTTGTGCACTGGTTGCAACTTTTACTTATGCTTTTCACATAAAATAATTTGTTCCAATTAGAATATTTCTTCACCGGTTGGTTTTATTTTTCTATTTTTTTTGTGGCTCTAATAATCTAATTGAAAACTCAACCATAAATCTCAACATTAGGACCTTGGTACTGTGAACATATGATGATTTTCTCACTTTCAATCCAGATTTGAAAGAAAAGGTGAACCCTCAGAGCTGGCTGCTGTGGATTTCTTTGTCACTACAATAGATCCAATGAAAGAACCACCTTTGATAACGGCAAATACTGTTCTTTCAATCCTTGCCGTGGACTACCCTGTTGACAAAGTCTCGTGCTATGTATCTGATGATGGTGCATCCATGCTTACATATGAGTCTCTTGCTGAAACCGCTGAATTTGCAAGGAAGTGGGTCCCATTTTGCAAGAAATTTTCAATTGAACCACGTGCACCCGAGTTTTACTTTTCACAAAAGTTTGATTACTTGAAAGATAAAGTGCAAGCCTCTTTTGTGAAGGAACGTAGAGCAATGAAAGTAAGCATCCAAATCATATCCATTTAATATCTAATCATTTGGATGCTACAACATGTTAAACTTATTAACACCGCTACATCCACACACAATTTGCTCAGCTTGAATGCACACAATTGAGAACCAGTAAGAGTCTTAATTGTGTGCATTCGAACGGAACAAATTGTGTGGATAAATCATTAATCTAAACTTATGGTGTCAAGTATTTATATACTATTAATTATCTAAAATCATAAATTTCGCCATTGGCTTTATTTATTATTGCAGAGGGATTATGAAGAATACAAAGTGCGGATAAATGCTTTTGTAGCCAAGGCTCAGAGGACACCAGAAGAGGGCTGGACCATGCAAGATGGAGCACCTTGGCCAGGAAATGACACAGCACACCACCCTGGCATGATTCAGGTTAAATCAGTTGGTCAATTATTATGTTTTAGTTTATGCATTTAGTGAGTTTGAAATTTTATTAAACTTGACTAATAATAGTTAATTCCATGTAGGCTTCTTCAGCTTTTTGTACAACTTCGGGAAGATTTTTATTCCAAAGTGTATCTAGATTTTGAATATATATGGAAGTGCTTAGTGTAAATATGAATAAATTCACATATATATATTTGGATATTTTGGCATATCACGTTTCTTGTTTTCCTTTAATCAATTGCTTCAATGAATCAATAGCTTTGTCAAGATGCATTTACTTTACATTCTTAGTACCGATCTTCCTACTAAGTAATCCATAAAGTTAATATTTTGAATTTCAAACATATAACTTGTTTTTCATCTTCCAGGTTTTTCTTGGACACAGCGGTGCCCATGACGTAGAAGGAAATGAAGTTCCTCGACTGGTTTATGTCTCAAGAGAGAAGAGACCTGGCTACAACCCTCACAAAAAAGCTGGTGCCGAAAATGCTTTGGTATATATCTTCATAAATTATTCAAGAGAAGTCTCTTTTTTTTCTTTTCATACAAAATTTCTAAGTGCTTCATCTCATTAATACTCGATGATAATTGGTGTCTTACAGGTAAGGGTGTCTGCAATTCTAACAAATGCACCTTACATCGTCACCCTTGATTGCGATCACTATGTCAACAATAGCAAGGCAATTCGGGAGGCAATGTGTTTCTTTTTGGATCCACAAGTTGGTCAAAACGTATGCTATGTGCAGTTCCCTCAGAGGTTTGATGCTATCGATTGCTATGACAGATACACAAGTCGCAATACAGTCTTCTTTTATGTAAGTTTAAGATGGCATAGTAGTTTTGTAAATCTCAATAATGATAATGTTACAGCTTATAGCACCTTATAGCAGATGATAAAAAAATGAGCAATACTACGTATCTCGAATTTGAGCTTGCCTCGAATGGCTTAAATTTCATTTTGCCGATCGTCTGGCCGGTCATTCGACAAAATTGCTGATAGCTGCGGTCGACAAAGTGACAACCGCGGTAGACAAGTGTTTCACCCGGCCATCCGGGTGGTCGTCAGACCAGTCGACCGGTAAACACAAATTCAAGCCATTCGAGAGAGCTCAATTTGAGGCACCAAGGATTTCAGTAAAAAAATACACAAACCAACACAACAATGTTGCATAAAAATACTGCATCTGAAATTAGGTTTGTTTTGGGAAATAGGTTAAAAGTTGACTTTTTAGTTTTTTTTAATTTTTTTTGAAAAAATGTGTAAAAAAGTAAAGAGATGATATGACCAAAAATAGGTCAAAAGTCAAAAAGTGGCTTAGCCAAGTTCTCAAAATAGGCCTAAAACTGTTGTAAGCTATTATTCATTTAGTGGTCAATATTTCACAAATTTTGGCCATTAAAAATCACTACAACATATAAGAATTTTAAAAATCAAATTTTTTGATTTCTAATAGTGAAAATTTTGTTGCAAAAAATATTTAAGGACCAATTTCTATCATCGTAAAAATAGTTACTAAGAGGTCGCTCCGAAAAGTCAAAAACAAAGCTTTTAGCGACAAAATTTTGAAAATATTACTAATAAATACACTTTTAGGGACAAAATAATTTGGTCTAAAAATAGTTTATTTTTTTAAACAAAAAATTTGGTCTCAAAATGATAATAATTCATAACTAATGTCCAATTTTCGTTGCTAAAAATCTAATGACGACACTTTTTGCAATAAAAATATTTGGTCCCTAAAAAATAATTTTGTTTTAATCTCTAAAACTTTAATTTTTTGTAGTGAATGTTTTAGTGTTGGTAAAATAATGATGCGACTATCTTTGTTTGGCTACAGTGTAAAAAGTCACATTTTTTTCAAGAGAAGTGATTGAGACTCTCTCCAATCACCACCCCCACTACCCCACACACACGTGGCGGGTGGTGACTGGAGGAGAAGGAAAAAAGGAAAAAGAAAAAAGAAAAACTGGCAAATCAAAGAGAGAGAGGGTCAAAAGGGGTGTCTCATTGAGAGGGTCCAACTTATTTTCTTTTTTTCAAACTTCTTTATATTTGGTGATTTCTTTTTCTTTTTCTTTTATTTGTCCAAAAATTCAATTTTTTAAGTTTGTCTAGTCTAAAAGAATCTAAAATGCAATTTGCTTTTGAAAAAATCTATAAAAAAAAAAAAAAAAATCACTATAGACAACAAAAAGCCAAAATAAGTCCATTTTTTAGCGCTTTTTTTTTTTTTTTTTTTTTTTGTTGTTGTTGTTATTGTTGTCGTCGTCTTTAATAAACTTTTTAAAAGGAGATATATATATATATATATATTTTAATTTTCAGTTCTTCTAGTCTAGTCTAGTAGGACTTAAAAGTAAAAATTTTCTTTTAAAATTTAAAAAAATTAAAAAAAAAAGATCGAAAAAAGTCAACAAAAAAATTGTTGAAAATGCAATCGTTAATCCCACTATCAAATCTCTAATTTTGCTCTCCCAATTTCACCCTTACGTTGTGTTTGATTGGAGGATTTGAGAAGAAATTTGAAAAGGAAAAGAGAAAATGTGTGTGAAAATATAAACATATTTGAAATGTGAATAAAATATACTTATATTTCACCTAGATTTACACACCTTTTCCCTTTCATTTTTCAAATCCCTCTCTAAATTTTCCAACTGAACACAACATTAACGATGTGAAATTAAGGAGGCTAAAATGAAAGAGAGAGACAGAAGTGTGAAACCGTTTCCCATAGGACACGGCATGTCATTGGGGTGGAATTGAGAGGGCAAAATTAAGGGGTGTAGTATCATTCTTTAAAAACAGATGCTATTGTGTTTCTCTGTGGTTGATGTGACAACGAAAGTTACACATTAAGACATTATAAAGATCATGAGTTGTTGTGGAATTCAAGAATTCTTTGTTTTTGGTTTCAGGTTAACATGAAAGGATTGGATGGCATTCAAGGACCACTTCATGTGGGGACAGGTTGTGTTTTCAATAGGCAAGCACTTTATGGCTATGCACCTCCTTTTTTGCCCGGCTTACCCAAGTCTTCTTCATCTTGCTCATTGTCCGGAAGCTGTTGTTGTTGCCGGCCCAAGAAACCCACCAAAGATCTCTCAGAGGTTTATCAAGATTCGAAAAGGGATGATCTAAATGCAGCCATTTATAACCTCAAGGATATCAACAGTAAGTCTTAAGACACTTGGCGAGTACTCAGCAACATTTTTCCCATAACATGACATACTTTCGGCTGTCTTTTGCAGCTTATGATGAGTTTGAGAGGTCACTACTCATCTCCAAGATGAGCTTGGAGAAGACTTTTGGCATGTCATCTGCATTTATTCAGTCGACACTGATGGAGAACGGAGGAGTGGCTGAATCTGCCAACCCAGCGACACTGATCAAGGAAGCAATTCAGGTCATTAGCTGTGGGTATGAGGTGAAGACTGCATGGGGAAAAGAGGTGGGACTTTGTATCCATGTTGTAGAATTAGAGTGTCATATAGATTCTAGCTTTCCTACATTTAGGCTGTGTTTGGATTTAGGATTTGAGGAGGGAAAGGATTTTAGGTGGGATTTTTTGTTTCAGTCACTTTTCCCTTCCCATTTCATTTCCATCCACAAATCCTTCATACAAACACAGTATCAGCAAATCGGATTCAGATTACAATCTTCATCTACCTTTCGTATTTCTCTTCCAGTCAATTTTCTTGCAGGCTTGGTACAATGTGGCATTTTGGTTTTACTCCCTAACTGCCTTGATCTTTTTTTCTTTTTTCTCTTTTGTGAACAAGTGTCCCAGGTACAGCAGAAAAGAGAAAAACACAAGGCACTTTTCACCGATTTCATAACACTATTTAGTAAACAATTTTCATCACAATCTCGATGCAAACCAATGCCCTGGGACCACTGATTAGCATTTGCTTATATTTTTCATTGTTATGATCTTTTTGTTGTTAGTTTCACTGCATCAACCTTCACGTCTTTTAGACTTTCGCCATTTATGATTCAGAAAACTTTTTGAATGTATTTGTACCATTTTGTCTTCCTAGATTGGCTGGATATATGGGTCAGTGGCTGAGGACATTTTGACGGGTTTCAAGATGCACTGCCGCGGATGGAGGTCTATTTACTGTGTGCCATCGAGGACTGCATTCAAAGGTTTGGCACCAATCAACGTGCCTGATCGGCTCCACCAGGCTCTCAGATGGGCCCTTGGATCTGTCGAGATTTTCTTGGGTAGACACTGCCCTCTCTGGTATGGATATGGAGGAGGCCGCCTTCACTGGCTTCAGAGGATGGCATATATTAACACCATTGTTTACCCGTTTACATCTTTCCCTCTCCTCACTTACTGCACTCTGCCAGCGATATGCCTTCTCACTGGAAAATCCATCATTCCCACGGTAATTATTCCTTTGCACTTTCAAACATTTCAAAAGCATGTTTTGGTTGTATTTTGATTTTTTCGCTCTTAGTTTGTGAAAAAAACCAAACTTGTTTGGCAAACAGTTCTTGGAAATTGGTTTTGAAATGTTTTCAAATTGAATAAAGATTGGGACCCCTTTCCCCCACCTCCTTTTGACCCCCTTTCTTTTTTGATTGGTCAGTTTTCTTTTTCTTTTTCTTTTTCTTTTTTTTTCTCCTCCTCCAATCACCACCCGCCACGTGTGTGTGGGGTGGTGGGGGTTGAAGTTTGTGGGGGTCTAAACCACTACTGTTTCAAATTTTCGAAAACTGTCTTGTTTTTTTCACTAATATGAAAATGATATGAAAAACGATAGGTATTTTAAGTTTTTTCATTGTTTTTGTATCCAAAAACAAAGAAAACCAAACAGATAAAACTTGTGCAAATAAAATATATATATATATATATATGGACATCCATCTAACTATTTGAAATACGAACATGTATGAGACATTCTCTTGTTTAACTGGAACTTTTGAGACAAAAAACTGTCTATTTTCAAATTTTAAAAAATCTGTGTTTTTTTTTGCACAAATTTGAAAATGATATGAAAAAGGATATGTATTTTCAAAGTTTTCGTAAAATTTTTGTTTCCAAAAACATGAATTATCCATTAAACTTACTCCAAATATCATTCTTATTACCTTGATGCAGCTCTCAGACCTAGCAAGCATATGGTTTCTTGGCCTCTTCATCCTCATCATCGTGACCAACGTGCTCGAACTAAGATGGAGTGGTATCGGCATTGAAGATTTGTGGCTCAACGAGCAATACTGGGTGATTGGAGGTGTTTCAGCCCATCTCTTTGCTGTTTTCCAAGGTCTTTTCAAGATGGTTACCGGCCTCAATGCAAACTTCACCGCAGCTGAGTGGACAACAATTTTGATCCCTCCAATATCACTTCTTGCTCTCAACATGGTTAGTGTCATTGCTGGATTTTCAGATGCATTGAACAGAGGGTATGATGCTTGGGGTCCTCTTCTTGGCAAGGTCTTCTTTGCCTTTTGGGTGATCCTTCACTTGTATCCATTCCTCAAGGGTCTAACGGGTCGACAAAGCCGGACTCCCACCATTGTTGTTCTTTGGTCGGTGCTTTTAGCTTCTGTTTTCTCTCTCGTTTGGGTCAAGATAAATCCATTTGTGACCAAAGATGATAGTAGTGCAACCATGGTGCCAAGTTGCATTTCCATTGATTGTTGAATTACCAATAAGAAATTTCAGCCACATTTTGGTGCCAAGACCCGGGCGGGCTTGGTCCAATACTCTTGGTCCTTCGGCAAAATCTTAAAAAGGGGCTTGTTTATATTTAAATCTTAATTTAAATAATATTTATTAAATTTTGGGCGTTGTAATTTTTTTTTTTTTAAAATTTATGTTTCACCTTCTTTGCATATCTATTCTTGTAAATTAAGTCAACATTTACTGAATTTCATTTAGCCTTTATTATTGAGGGCCTATATACAATGAGAGTTTTATTTTCTGAATCTTTAGAGAAGGATTTTTTTGTCTTTTTTTTAACAGGCCTTTGGATAAACAACTCCTTTTTCTTTTTCTTTTTCTTTTTTCTTTGTTTATGGTGCATTTTGACAAAAGATAAAAGAGGGGGGAAATATAGACCTCGAGAAAATTGGAGACTCAGACTCGCCCAAGGGAAGGGTTGGGCTTGCTAAAAGATTAGTTGGGAAAATGGCATTTTGGTGGAACAGTGACAAAAAGATCACTGCTCTATTTGGTAGAATTTTGGGGCTTTAGTTTCACCATTTGATTTGCACGTGATATTTGTCTATAATTTTCAAAACTTAATTTTGCACTCACTTTTGAAAATTCTATCCAAGGCGAGAAAATTTGTACTAACCGGTCGTCCTCCCGACGTCTGGCCAGTTGACCAGAAGAGTGTATTTTTTTTTTTTTTTTTACAATTGTCACCTGCTATTTTTTTTATTTTAAATAAAAAAGATTCGGAATTTTTAATTTTTTTTTATGAGTTTTGAATAAAATTTTGAGTTGTGTGTTTGATTATGAGTTGTAAGTTTTTGTATCAAATATCATATGTCACATCAAAAATTTCCCAATCAGTTCAAAACTCATTTCAAAACTCATTCACTAAACAATTTTTTCACACTTAAATCATAATTCCAAAACTCACAAACTCAAAATACAACTCTTATTCTCAAATCATATTTAGAAAACTCTACCATACGGTACCTACATTTTTATGATGGTATAACTCTTTTGTGTGTAGTGCAAATTCAATCATGTGCTTAATGCAACTCTTTTTGTGTCAAAATTGCACTACAAAATATGCATATTTGTAATACAATTATTTTTAACTATCTCACATATTTGTAATTTTCTCTTTCTATTATTATTTTTTATTTTTATTTTTTTGGCAAATTTCAATTTACTCATGTGGTTTAGTCCATGTGCAGATTATCCCCATCTCATTTAAAAATAAGCACATAATCTCTTTGTGATTTGTGGATTGAAGTGCACAATTAGACTAATTAATGATTTAATAAAAACATAAAATACTAGTCATATATATAAGTAACCTGAATGTGTGAATTACCAATATTTTTATTGTTTATTTAGAAGGCAAAATGCACTTAACCGCATATGCTTCATTCCATGTACAATTTACCCTTTAAAATTTGAAAATAAACATATAATTCTCTTATGTTTATCACATGCTTTACACTTATTGAAATGTTTAATAGTGTATTTCAATTCACAAATTATAAAGAGGTTCAGTAATTATTTCCAAATAAGAAAGGATAATGTGTACATAGATAAAAGTACAATGAATAAAGTAAATTTTGTCCTATATAAATATAGAATAAAGATTGAGAATTCTAATTTTGGAGTTCTAGAGGAGCTGTAAATGGTGGGATTCATTTGTGATGTGATATGTGTGCTTATGCTATATATATATATATATATTTTTTTTTTTTTGGGCTTGCCATATAAGTAGAGTTTTCTTTAAAATTTTAAAATTAAAACTCCCTATCATTATTGTTATATATATATAGGTATGATTTGAATAATAAATTTTTGGGAAACGTAGAAATGGAGAGACCAATCACTACAAAAAAAATTGCTTTTTTACGACGGTAAAATGCTGTCGCAAATACTCAAAACGCCGTCTCAAAAGGTTTTTTGCGACGGTAACTGGCCTTTTGCGACGGCAAGTGGGGGGTCACAACAAAGAGAGTTGCAAAAGGATTTTAGCGACGGTATAACGCTGTCGCAAAAAAAAGGCGACGACAAAAATGCCTTTTTGCGACTGAAAAATGCAGTCGCCATTAACGCATGAAAATCTAAGTTTTTTTTAGACGGCACTGTGTTGCCGTCGCTAAAAAGGTTATTTGCGACGACACAAATACCGTCGCTAAAGGATTATTTGAGACAGCACTTGATGCCGTCGCTAAAGTACTATTGGCGACGGCAAATGACACCGTCGCTAAAAAACTTCATTTTCAACAAATGCCCTATCTTTTGCGACAATATTACTGCCGTCGCAAAAAACCCTGGTTCTATTTTTCTTTTTGAGACATGGAGAGACCAATCACTACAAAAAAAAAATTGCTTTTTTACGACGGTAAAATGCCGTCGCAAATACTCAAAACGCCGTCTCAAAAGGTTTTTTGCGACGGTAACTGGCCTTTTGCGACGGCAAGTGGGGGGTCACAACAAAGAGAGTTGCAAAAGGATTTTAGCGACGGTATAACGCCGTCGCAAAAAAAAGGCAACGACAAAAATGCCTTTTTGCGACTGAAAAATGCAATCGCTATTAACGCATGAAAATCTAAGTTTTTTTTAGACGGCACTGTGTTGCCGTCGCTAAAAAGGTTATTTGCGACAACACAAATACCGTCGCTAAAGGATTATTTGAGACAGCACTTGATGGCGTCGCTAAAGTACTATTGGCGACGGCAAATGACACCGTCGCTAAAAAACTGCATTTTCAACAAATGCCCTATCTTTTGCGACAATATTACTGCCGTCGCAAAAAACCCTGGTTCTATTTTTCTTTTTGAGACAGTGTGTGTGCTGCCGTCTCAGAATAAATAAATAAATAAAATTTATTAAAAATATGAAAATGACTTGTATTAAATGAAAAATAACTAAAAAAATTATTTTCATTCAGAATTGTTTTTTTGCATTTCTAAAAATTATGAGTTGTGTATACAATTGTTTTCCTGCATTTCTAAAAATATTTTCATTCAGAATTGTTGGTCTCAACTATGATTCAGGTTATCTAGCCTCGAGGAAAAGCATGCATTCACACGAGAAACATGAAATCCATCAAGCAAGTTTGATATATAACATATTTTCCATCCTAAGCAATGGGGAAATAGAAAGTAGCAACATATAAAATCACCAACAAATTTCTCATTAACCAAACCCATAACACAAAGGCTGTGTTTGGTGCCATGGAATGGGACTACATTTTTGGCAATGGACACACAACAATTATGATTCCGAATGATAAAAATTTAGAGGTGCCTAAGAAAAACATAATGGATCTGGCATTCTAAGATTCCGATCACAAAACCAGCAGCACGTCCTATAACTTGAAATCCTTTTTCTTCGATTTTCCATCCATTTCCTACATTTTCTGTTTCCACTTTTTCTCATTCTGAAAAATTCCATCTCATCAGAACAAAAGTGTCCATAAATACTAATTAAAACAAGTACAAAATCAGAAAGATTGTGAGAGATGCACACCTCGGCAATCATGTCACTGAAATCCTCCCGCTGACTACGCAGTTTCTCCTCCTCCTTGCTTCCTTATACCTGTGAAATGCAAAATAAATATGAATTAAGCGCCTTGTAGCTAATGTACTGATACTGATACTGACACTAAACAAACTATGAGGACTCGGACTTACTTTACATGCAAGACATTGTTCATTACTTCCAACTCTTCTGGTTGTAATGTGACATCAAGGAGAGTTAACTTCAAAGCCAAAAAAAAAAGATTGCTATTTATAATTTCCATGCACACAGTAATCACACATTAAAATTAATTATTGTGCTGTGAGTACATTTATTATGTTCATAAAGTATGACCACCACAAGCATTCTTACCTTCTTTTCTGCAGCCATCTTTAATTTCGCCCAAAATGAATCTGTTAGGACACATCCCATGTAAACATGTTTATTTTGATTTCAACATCAACTATGCTTATATAAGAAACGTATGCAAGCAACATGGAATTGTGAAATGCCAGAAATTACACATGAAATGAATGTCACGCAGATGGGGAGAGGGTTTAAAAAACTAACAAGATATATCAAACAGTGTCATCATTTTGCAAAAAAGAGGGTTTATGGATCAAACTCACTCAATTAACAAAGTAATCAAATTAATCATTTCATACATAAAATGAAATTATTACAAAATAAAGATCTAGCTAGCAGGGGCCTAAATGACTTGAAATTGTAGAGAAGGGCATGATACCATGTTCATTTAGTAATTATAGTTCGAAAAAAAAAAACAAGAAGTCCGATTGTTGCAGTTAACTAAGCAAGTGCTTTATTTATGTGATTGTAGTTGGCAGAAAATAAGTGATCCTGGAAGCATTGCAGAGGTACTTAAGCAAGTTTATGCAGATCACTCAACAGAGGTTGATAAAGTGTTTTCCCGTATCCTTAAGACAGCACAACACCCAGCAGCTGCTGCATCCTTTGTCTCAATTATGTGTGCTCCTCGGGCACAACTATCCTTTTGGGAGGCTTTATCTAGGTACGTATTGTTAAAGTTTAAACTCCTGCAGGTAATTCATGTAAAATTTCCCTTTTCTTGCTCTAAATTATGGACTACCAGTTCATTTCTATTCACAGGTGTCAAGCGAACGATGTACCAATCTGTCTCATATATGGAAAAGAAGACCCCTGGGTGAAGCCTGTGTGGGGTCTTCAGGTGAAAAGACAGCTGCCAGAAGCTCCATATTATGAGATCAGGCCTACGGGTCACTGCCCTCATGATGAAGTTCCTGAGGTACCCAGCTCATCACTGTCTACATTAGGAATCCATTTGATTGCCCATCTGCAGTTAGTGTTTGTTTTGACATGCCCCTGTAGTGGGAGTTTATTATAATGTTCATAGTTACTGGTGAAATCTTGGATGAAGAAATTTGGTTTTGTTGTTGATTTTGTTAGGACTTTTTCCGTTTGTGTATGAGGGGGTTTGAGCCGTGCAATCCAAGTGCTGAATCTACCCAAGAGGAAGACTTGGTTAAAAGTCCACATCATTTTAACAAAAATGAAAAGTTTAGATGAGTAAAATATTTTTGCTGTAAAGCCCCAAATTTCTATGGTGAGAACTGCGTCCTGAAGGCTTTAATTGAACCTGGTGATAATCTTGAGGTTTGATTTTAAGAAAATGAATGATGTACCAAGAAATTAGCATGGTAGACCATGAAGTTTGCTTTCATAGTACAATATATGAAACTATTATAAGAAATTGCAAGTCCAAGTTGCTTTTGATTTGTGAGCAAAGTAGTTAGTAAAAACTGAGCAATCAGGTACTACTTCAATCCCTTATTAAGAAAGTTATACCATTAATTTTCATGCTAAGCACTAGGAAAAAGATGATTTTTATAATTTTGTAACAGGTTGGGTGGTGCCACAGCTATTGAATGGATAAACAAATATAATAGTCTTTGGAAGAGTATAATAGGTCCAATAATTATGAAGAATCCATTAAGGTCCAACACCGTTGCATGGTAAATGCGTCCAACCTTTGTACTCAAATTTAGATACTTGGATCCTCTAATAATTAACAATGTTCAAAACAGAAGCTCACATTTGATAGTAAAGAAAAAATTTTAGCCTCTCACATGAATGGGGGATAGGTATCTCCTTTTCCCGTAAATCACATTTTATTTCAACTATATTTCCAAATAATAACATCATCTTATGTCATAATATCATACAATAGACAATATATTTTAATGTTCAGGGAGTGTCCACAACTCCACGTATCCATACCCAATTTCTAGATACATAAGCCTATATCACAAGATTAAAGGGTTTAGGGAGGTCTGACACCCCAATTTACGAACTGACCACAATCAAAAAACAGTCTCTGCATAAATAGAGACAAAATGTTTCTTAATCCATTCCCATACCAGTTGTCATCTACTTCAATTCTACAAACCAAAAGAAGAGCTACTGTCAAAGAATTCCAGCTATGTTTTCTCTGAAATCCAGTAACCTGATAGTTTCAAAGTCAAGCCAATTTCAGTCATATTTGATCTACATACCTACTACCCTTTTCTTACAATTTATTAGAACCTTAAATCTTGAAACTATAATTACTAAATATAATTACAATTTATAGTTTCAAAGTCAAGCCAATTTTTTCGAACTATAATTACTAAATATAACTCTATATATTTATATACATTTAAAAATATATATAATGTTTAAAATAAAATAAATTATCAATATGACTAAATTATGTATGTATATATATAAAATCACATATATCAATATAACTAATTAATCTCTTCTATATATCTCCATAGTTTGATGGAAAACGACCTTATTTTATGCATTACGTAAACAAAAAATAGAAATAGAATTGAATCCTACGATTCACTCATGTTTCAATTCAAGAGAACAATTCAAACCGTATTTTGTTGAAACTCGTATCAAATTATATGAATCAAATCGGATGATTCTAACAACCATGAATGTAACAGCTAGCACTGAAATGAGACCCCCCCCAAAAAAAGTAGTAGAGAAAGTTGTGAAGAAGATACCTCCTCATTCTGTGGACGTTGAGCAGTCGATTTTCGTGTTGATGATACTGAATCAGCCTAAAATTGTAGTAAAAGAGAAGTTGGTCCAAAACAAACACACAGATTCCAAAACAAACAGAACAGATCTGTTGGTCCAAAACAAACAAACAGAACAGATATGTTCGATCGGTGCAGAGATGACAGATCAGGGGGAGAGAGAGAGAGAGAGAGGCAGAGAGAGAGGCTTACCTGTGAGTCGATCGGTGCAGAGATGCAAAACCAGAGAGTGAGACTAATGAGATGAAAGAGTGAGGGAGACAGATCAGATCAGAGAGATATCTAATAATAATAATAATAATTTTCAATATAAATGAATATTTAAATAAAAAATAATAATAATAATAATTTTCATTTTCATCATAAATGAAAAAAATAATAATAATAATTTTCAATATAAATGAAAAATTATTTTTTTTTTATTTGGTAGAAGTAAGGATAATATTTTAATGAAAAATATTTTCTATTAAGAGTGATGAGTGAGAGAAAAAGATGGAAAGAGAGAGAGAGAGAGAAACAAGCAAACAAAGAGAGAAAGGGATAGAGGGAGAGAGATAGAAAAAGAGAGAGAAGCAAGAGATGAGTGATACAAAAAGAGAGAGAAAGAAAGCAAAAAAAGATGAATGAGAGAGAGAATAGAAAAATAGAGAGATAGAGAGAAGAAAGATGAGCGACAGAGAGAGACAGAGAGAGAGAAAAAAGAGAGATGAGCGAGAGAGACAGAGAGAGAGAGAGAAAAGAGATGAGAGAGATAGAGAGAAGAGAGATGAGCGAGAAAGATAGAGAGAGAAGACAAATGCGAGGGATAGAGAGAAAAAAGATGAACGAAAGACACGCAGACAGATACACAAACAGACAGATAGACAAACAGACAGAGAAAGAAGAGTGATGAGTGAAAGAGAGAAAGAGAATAATGGTGGTAGTTGAATGGCATTTGCAGTAGTGGTATATGTGGTAGAGAAAATGGATGGTGAGAGAGAGATGAGTGAGAGACGAATAGAGGAAAGAGATAAAGAGACAGAGAAAGAGACAAAGTGATGAGCGATAAAGAGACAAAGTGGTCGCTAAAAGTGCATTTTCTTGTAGTGGATCGATAAATCGAAAGGGAGCTCAATAAATAAAGAAGAGATGATGGAGAGAGTGAGCAAGGCAAACATAGTGGGGGAGAGAGACAGAGAGAAAGAAGAGTGATGAGTGAGAGAGAGAGAGAGAGACGGAGAGAGAGAGATAGAGAGAGAGATAGACAGAAAAAGAGAGAGAAACAAGAGATGAGCAAGAGATAAACTAAAAGACAGAGAAAGAAAGTGAAAAGAGATTAACGAGAGAGACATAAAAAAAAAGAGACAGAGAGAGTGGTAGTGGTAGTGGTCATAGTTCCACCTATTGATTTAAGTATGGTGTTTGTTTTGAGCTTTCAAATCATAATTCTATATCCATTTTTCAAAACTCAATTCAAAATATAATCACTACTTTTCGAAACTCATAACCAAACACATAATTCAAAACTCTTTTCAAAGTTTAATTCAAATCAATTTTTTTAATATTTTAATTTTGTGAGAGACAGATAAAGAAGAGAGATAGAGAGAGAGAGACCGAGATAGAGTGATGAGCGAGAGAGAGAAAGGCAAAGTGGTTGCTAAAAGTGTATTTTCTTATAGTGGATCGATAAATCGAGAAAGAGCTCGATAAATAGAGAAGATGGGAGTAAGAGAGTGAGCAAAGCGAATATAGTGAGGGATAAATAGACAAATAGACAAGTAGACAGAGAGAGAGAGAGAGAGAAGAGTAATGAGTGAGAGAGAGACAGGGAAAGAGAAAGATAGACAAAAAAAGAGATGGAAAGAGAAAGAGATAGAGATAAAAAAAGAGAGAGAAACAAGAGATAAGCGAGAGATAGACAAAAAAAGAGAGAAATAGAGCGAAAAGAAATGAGCGAGATAGAGAGAGAAGAGAAATGGACGAGAGAGATAGAGAAAGGTAGAAAGATAAGAGAGAAAGAGAGAAAAGAAATGAGAGAGATAGAGAGAAGAGAGATGAGCGAGAGAGACAGAGAGAGAAAACAGATGAGAGAGATAGAGAGAAGAGAGATAGGCGAGAGACACAGAGACAAAATGAGAGAGAAAGAAACAAACAGATAAAGAAAGAAGAGTGATGAGTAAAAGAGATAAAGAGAAGAGAAAGAGATAAAGACAGATAGACATGAAGATGAAAAAATAAATGAAAAGAGAAATGTTATACCAAAAGAGTAATACATTGTTTTTTTAATTTTTTTTTGCGATAGAAAAATACCGTTGAATTTATTCAAACCATTTTGTGACTATATATATATGAAGCTATCTCAAAACCACAATCACTATGCTAGGTTAGAGTTTTCAAAAAACTCTTTTGAGAAAATTATACTTTCTTATTTTTTATGTTATATTATTTTTACTGAATTTTTTTAATATTTGAAGTATTTATTTTTTAATTTTTAGACACATCTAACATAAATACCCCTAAAAATTAAAAAAAAAAATTTGTAAAAAAAAATCTTTTAAAAATTCACTAAATACCAAAAATATTAAAAAAAAAATACAATAATTCAATACATTTTTTTTTTGTATTTTTATGTATTTATTAATTTTTAAAAATATTTTTTCATAATTTTTTTATGTTTTAGATACATCTAAGTAAGGTGCATCTTAAAAAAATATTTAAAATTTTAAAAATATTCATTAAAAAAAAAAACACGAAAGTTACTTTTTGCGACGGCAGAAAATGCCGTCTCAAAAAAGCAGAGTATTTGCGACGGCACCATTTGCCGTCTCAAAAAAGAAGAGCATTTGCGACGGCACTATTTACCGTCTCAAAAAATGAGAGTATTTGCGAGGGTATTTTCTGTCGTTGCAAATACTCTCATTTTTTGAGACGGCATATAATGTCGTCGCAAATGCTCTGCTTTTTTTAGACGGCAAATGGTGCTATCGCAAATACTCTACTTTTTTTAGACGGCATTTTCTGCCATTGTAAAAAGTAACTTTTTGAGACGATAAGTGTACCGTCGTAAATAGTTTCGTCTCATAAATCCACTTTTCTTGCAGTGAATATCGCTCCTTGGGATGCAATTTTATAAAATGTACTTCATTACATGTATGCATGTGCAGATTTTTGGATTACAAAAAAAATATATTTAGTGGTCCGCTGGAGGTAAATTTATTTAGGTAAATTCATTTTGGTATTTTAACTTAAAAATTGTTGGTTAAAATAGTAAAATATAATACTTTTAGAGTGCTGTTATTAGCATTTCATGTATTATTTTGAATCTTTAATTTTTAACCTTTTTTTTTTATTACAATAATAATCTCAAAT